ACTAATAATATAAATTATCAAGAAATTAAATAGAAATTAAATGATATATAATATAAGCAATATAAAATATATAATGAAAGGACTAGTATGTTATTTACAAATGCTTTGAAATTGATTCTGAGAAATATGTCAATTTTTCAATAAAAATGTCACTATGTGGTGAAGTCTTCTCATCATTGAATATAATTTTTCACAGATCATTTCTCAAAAGTTGTCAATGTTGATCTTTTCATACATAAACTTAAATTAAATATTGCCAATAAATCCATTTAAAGAAACACGATGACATTGTTCTTAATTTTGTATGTCTCTAGATATNAAGAAATTAAATAGAAATTAAATGATATATAATATAAGCAATATAAAATATATAATGAAAGGACTAGTATGTTATTTACAAATGCTTTGAAATTGATTCTGAGAAATATGTCAATTTTTCAATAAAAATCTCACTATGTGGTGAAGTCTTCTCATCATTGAATATAATTTTTCACAGATCATTTCTCAAAAGTTGTCAATGTTGATCTTTTCATACATAAACTTAAATTAAATATTGCCAATAAATCCATTTAAAGAAACACGATGACATTGTTCTTAATTTTGTATGTCTCTAGATATTTTGGATATCGAATCATCTATATTCATTATAAATTCTCATAATAAATTTGATACTGCCTAACATTGTTTTGCCTAAATAAATAGAGACTTGGCAAACATGGAATCCTTAATTTAATAATTGTTTGCGTCAGATAAAGAAAACTATGAAATTCTTATCAAATTTTAATGAGATTCTGATTTTGCTGGATTGTATTCGGTTGTACTTGTTACGAATGCATAAAGAATCGCGGTGTAAACAATTCTACATATTTGCAACAAATACGTAAAAATGCAAACTAATTAACTAATAAACCACGTTCAACCCTATCATTCATTGTGACCATTACGAATTTGAAATATTTAAAAAAGAAGATCGAACGAGACGAGCAAAGCCATGTTTTTCCCAGCCGACAGAAATCCGTGGAACCCACGTGTACAAAATTTAAACAATATATAATAATCGTTACGGGGTTAATTTATGAATTATGTCAGACGTACGGTTCGAATACTGATAGATATCAGAATCTGCTGCAGAAGAATTTTCCGACCATAGAAGGTTACTCGTGTTAGCGAAAGTGTAACGTGCTTACTATTAGAATCAAACAAAACCGTCGAGAAATGTTAAAAAGTGAGTATCGAGAGAATTAGAAAATAAAGAAGTAGAAAACACTCTTATATTAGAGATAGACTTTTCCTCTTGCATTAGAAAAGAGTTGCGACCGAGATGTTTCAATACCATTTTCTAACAATTCGATTATAATATGTTTGCGTTCGCATGAATTACTAAAAATATTCTGCAATTTGTAAGTACAAGAACGTACTTTTGTATCGTGCAAGTAAAGAAAAAATATCGTGAGTTATTCTTTCTGTAATCAAAGGACGAATCAGAATATTATTACTAGACTGTGAATTTTCATACAAAGTAAACGTTGCCAAAGTGAACTCCAAGACACAGGATGTATGTATAGTCTTCACGCGACAAGAAGGCAGCTTTGTGTGTACATTCCCCCTCCTACTAGCTACCCCCCACCTGCCACAGTTATCGGTCGCTATTGGGCGGAAACGATGACGAAGCGACCGAGTGCTGTGGTAGTGGGGCAGCTAGTAAGGGGGGGAACGTAAACACAAAGGTGCCGTTCTGTCGCGTAAGGACTACACGTACACACTTATTAAGAGAATAAATAAGTACTGTTTAATAGATACTGTTGCATTGTTTTCACCTTATTAGAATTATTAAGAGAATAAATAATTCTAATAAGGTGAAAACAATGCAACAGTATCATTAAATTGTTGCAACGGTTTCGCTATTTTGTATCTTATCCACTCGTTTTTGTCACAAATGCACAAATCCGCAGTCCGACTATTAAATACAATCGAAGATACGCAAAATTCGTTGTCCAAGCTCACCGAAATCGTTATGATTAATTAGAAATTTCTTATCCGATCGTTCGAAGAGCGCGAGCATGATTAATTCACGTCCCATTAGTCGACGAAGCAGCAGGCACGGTCCCCGTTAATGGTTAATGGATACTTGCAAGTGAAATGTACGTACCTAATGTTGCTTTGTTTTAGAAATCCCTGTCGCGGATGATTAACGAGCTCGCAACGAAAGGACTAATTGTAAAAGTTCAATGATTTATTTCGATACAAAAGAACAGGAGGAGAAACAAAACAGGATCGATAGACGACGTACGGTACAAAGTCAAGTAATACTGAGACTAAAGCACGATACAATTGTTTGCGTAGTAAAAAAGAAAAAAGTAAAAGAAATAATACAATACGAACGTGTAAATGAATAAAAAAAAAATGTAGCGGAAGCGTATATCACGTCACTAACGTTCGACTATTGTTATCGTCGATCTTCGACTACAAAGACCGTTATAGAAAACATAAATGCGTCGACAATCGTTGGTTCGAATTTTAGGAGAACTATGAAACGCGAATTTCCCGCGTAAATTCGCTGTCAATTTCTATGAAAATGCAATTCGACCGGTTCAACGAAAAATTCTCGTTCAGACTTGTTCTGTTTTTTTTTCCGCAACGGAAAATGATCTGTCAACTGTTCTTACTAGCTTTTGATAATGCACTAGACAACTGATAACGGTTTCGACTTCAAGTGATTAAAATTTTGGGGAAATTGAAAAATCTGAAATTTGCAATTTACTAACGAGCAGCAATATTAACTTTAGAAAATGATTTCGTAAGGTGTAACGAAACGAGAAAAACAATCAACTCTGAATGAATTGTTGTTTACTTTATACCGGCTCTTTGGATCATTAATATAATGAACGAAAGAACGTTAAATAATTGGCAAGCTCTTCAATCGAATAAAATGGCGAATGTAAACAATTACATCAGAGAAATAATTATATAACGTAATTAAAGGAACTTCGTTAAATTAAAGTAATTAATTGCGATATTGTTTGTTGTTACTTCGGCGGAACAATATCGTAATCGAAGTTGTTGTTAAAACCATGAAGCCATTAATTGTGAGAAATAAACTTATCAAGAGATTTTAACGGAGTATAACTATGTTTATTTCACTATTCCTTTAAAATAGGAAACGAATTCTTTAACATCTACAGCGATGAATATATAAGAATATATGTATAAGAAATACAATGCTAAAAGGAACTTATAATATGAAGCTCAAGCTTATAAACTGTGTTTTTGTACTTTGAAACAACAAATAAGAATGTTTCAAACTAAATGCTATAGTTCATAAAAATTAAAACAGCATAGCACATATAAATTATTCTCTTGGTTAATCATGTTTGAATAAATTGATCTTCCAGAAAACTGAAGAAACGAAACTTCACTCAACAACTATAGCAATGATACTAAGTTATCTAGTGCATCTGAAGCGTAACAAGTTATAGTCTTCGCACAATATACAGCGAAATTCGTCAATTTTCCGCTGTGAGGAGTAATCACGCTAATATGAAGTGCGAAGATAGTTCCTGTTGTGTTTGCCAAACAACTCAAAACTCTAGGAGTTATTAAACTCCTAAATCCATATGCTCTTATTTTAGACGAATTGTTAGTAATTTTCAAACAAATATAAATATAACATGATTTTAAATTTGATTTTAAACAAATTAAACCATAACACTTTACACATTTTTGATGGGAACATTAATTTCGAAGTGCAAGAGAGATCATCGTGGTTGCAAAATAAATTTTCACGATTACGATTTATCGCGTTCACTGACTACGAGGGGTTACATACACCTAGAAAGGTACAGAAAAATGGACTTTTTAGAATTCAGGTAAACGTGCTGCATCGAGATGTCTTCCCCAAACATTTTATTTAATTATTTATAAACCAAATTGACTCTAAGTAATCAGAGGAAAAATCATTTATTTGAAGCGATATTTGTGAAGAATTTATAGAACTATTTAATTGAAAGAATTATTTATATATAAATCGCACACGAAAGTTTAAATACGTTTCCCATGAAATGATGTTTAAAAAAAGGATACAACTTCAAAAATATTTTGATGGTTACTAAACCAATTTAAGCTTTTCTTCTAAGCTTGTGCAGACATATTCAATTGTCTGGTATTTTAGATTTGCTCTATGTCAAACATTAACATTCATTATGTTATTGCAATTGATATTACAAAATTACTTATTAACAGACTGTGGATCTCTGTGCAAAATAAAATGTTTTTGCATCGATTGCAAGACAAATGAGCCATGCACAATTTCCTTTTTTTCTTCAATAATTTTAATAAGTTGAAATTAGTGCACAGACACATTCTCATCTACTCATTTTCACCATAACAGCATAAAATCCACAGTCTCGTTGGTACTACATTAGAACACAAAATAACGTTTTTCGATTTCAAAAAAATTTCTAATCATTCTTATTATGAAGACAAGGGATCAACGAATGTAAAATAGAAAACTTGCACGTTGAAGCGGAAAGAAAAAGTTCCGAAAGACGATGATTAGACTGCGCATTTTTATGGAAATTAAAAAGAATCTCCATTAGTTTTAACGAACACGAGACAAGTAGACATCTTCTTCTTTCTGTCATACCTTCAGCGAGTCGAAAAATAATACATAGACGCTCCAAAGTTATTTTTTGATATTTTCATTCTTTTAAATTTCACTCACCCATTTGTGTCATAAATGCATCAAATCCGCAGTCTAACGATAATCATTAACTAACTCGTCGTCCCCAGGTAATCTCGTATTTTAGCAACGTTAAGATAAATAACCGTGGTTGAAAATTCGACAAAATTCTAAGAGGCCGACATCTTATCGTTTTTAGACACATGCAACCCCTGCGTTGAACCGGCCACAAGATCGACAGAGATCGCGATTTAACCGAGGATCAACGCTTCCGCTACATGAGCAACAGCAAATCGGAAGTTCGCTGAGAGGGTTGGTCGCTCTCGGAGGCTGAGAGCAGACGAATCAGCTCCTCCTCTTGATCGGAGACGAACCACTCGGACTCCGAGCCGCCGACGTCACTCAGAGGCATCAGCTGCTGGTGTAGCTGTTGTTCTAACACCTATCCGAATCGGCCAGACCAATATCGTCAATGAAACACACATTAAAGTCCACCGTACGTGACAAAATCTTTCACTAAGTATTCGATCGTCAATCTCATAATCATCATCATCATCATCATCATCATCATCATCATCATCATCATCATAATCATTATCAGAATCATCATCATCATCATCATCATCATCATCATCATCATCATCATCATCATCATCAACAAGCATAAACAAAGCCGTAGAGTGCTCTATTTACCGATGGAAGCAAACGATCGGTTCTGCCTGGCACAGCCGTCTACAATACGTTCCAATTAAAGGAAACACAGACCGAGTATGTCACACACATGAAAGAAAAGATGGAAAAACCGAACGAAGGAGAAGTGCAAGGTGGACTTTAATAGCGTGAACATGTTTTCACTCGTGGTCGTGGCGATCACGCCGTTTCCAATGGCCGGCAAAACTGGTGAACGTGCCCCGTGTGGAGTGATATCGTCGAACTTGAGCTTTCGTTTCTCTTTTTTTCATTTTGTATTTATTTTATTCGGACATTTTTGCTTCGTTCTATCGTTACAGCGGAACGTGAATGAAGAAGTGTCGGTTAGAGGCAGTAAACAAATCGATCGATTAAAGTCCACCCCAAAAAAAAGAAGATAAAATAACGGGGGAGTCGAGGCCGCGTGGTTAAGTGCGAAATACGGATTTAGTGCGTTAAACGAGAGAGAACAGTGAGACACTGTTAGGTTTTGCGACAAATATCGGGATTTTACGCTTCTTCTCGCGTGGTTCCTCCCTGTTAATGTATAGTCGTGGTTATTGTTAATGTTTAGTCAAGCGTTTCCCAGCCTGTCCATCGGTGCACGATCTTCGGCGATGGTCCTTGATCCTGATAGGGAAAAGTTGCCAGAAATTGTGGACACCCGATGTGTATTCCACGAATGAATTATTAATATTTATCGTATGCAAGGTCTTACTTTAAATATAATGTCTTTCGTATGTTGATCGAGTGATACAACAGGAGTTTTCATACTGATCAGTCGCTTTGTAATCTATAAATTAAATTGAAAGAAGTCGTGTCAAAATTAATCCTTTTGTAAACCACATTCACCCTTTTCCGGTCAAAATTAATCGTTTTGTACATTATATTTAATTTTCTCCGCTTCAAATTAATCCATTCTTGAATCATGTTTATCTTTGTAAAGAAAATGAATTTTACTCAATTTCTTGCAAATGAAATTCAATCGTTTGCAAATTAAGTTTGCTCATTTATAATTATTTGTAATGAAAATCGTATGAAATTTACAAATCGAATGGCATTTTGATATAAATGATTATTGGAGATTTATGAAGATTGTTCTACAAGGATTATTTTTTGAACAAGTATATGAAGTTATGTTAAATTTAGAAATTGAATAAAAAACGACCAATTTTGATCTGTGAATGGGTCATATTATTTGCGAAAGGATGAATAAAACCTGCGAGAAGCTTAATTTGATTTGCAGAAATGCGAAGATGGTATACAAAAGGATTAATTTTCAGTGTGAAAGCTGTAGTAAGCATTTTTAATTTGCCACAAACGCATAAAATCAACAGACTAATTAATATCAATTTTGATAATAATTGGACAGTTTCAAAAAATATTCAATACTGTATAAATAAGAAGTTATTAGAAATAGATTATTGGTCTTTGTATATTGGAACAAAATTTCATTCTCTCACCTCACCTATGTTTTTTCAACACGCATTTGGAACATCTTTTTGAGTCTTATTGGCAACTTTCCCCTAAATGTTATACTGATTTCTTCATTGGTCAAGTCTCTTTTTAAACTTTTTTAAATCACACAACGAAAATACTGATTTTCAATTGTGAACAATAATTAGATTAAAGAAGCAAAAGGAGACGAAAATCATACTAAAAAAAGATCGAAGATAAAGAAGAAAATTATATTGACGTCTTTAACAGCAATATTCTTCTTTCGTTGCTAAAAATTGCACAATATCTTTAATCTGCATTTGATATTTCTATAGACGTTTCATTTAAAATGGGACCAAGTGCATTTCTAAATTGAAATCTTTCGATATCTTTAAAGATTTGAAACAAATTTTAATCTTTGGAAAATCAATGCAAAAGTGCTGGTACCACGCATGCTTTCATCTTTTTAAACAGATTTTGAAATAATGGAAGATTTCAAACATTGTTTCACCCATCCATTTCCTATTTTGCAAATATGTTAAAATATTTAGCGTTAAAAGTATTAACACCAAAATTTCCTTGAGCCTCATCTTCCTAAGGAAAGGAAGTTCCGGTAATCGTGTTAACTCGTTTGTCGTCTATACTGTAATAAACTGTTTGTATCATTACTACACTGCGGATCTTATACATTCATAGTAAAAATGAGTAAGAAACAGTAATTAATAGAAAACATTTTCAACTCATGAAAATTATTAATCCTCCATCTTGCAGGAACCACAAAATTTCAATAAACAAATTCCTTAGTTAGGAAGAGATGGATCAACAATAGAACGTTGCTCTGTATTCAAACGAAGGAGGAAACAGAAATAAGCTTAAGAAAAGAAAATAATAAATATGGAATTTCGACGTTACTACAAAGCGTTAATTTATCTTCGAATTGTTGCAGAAAACGCAGAAAGTATTCATTTCACACGAAGATCCGCAGTCTAATTATTAGACCCTATCGATCACGTTTTCCTCAAAACCGCGAACACGGTAAGATTATGTTTAGTCACAAACACATGTACCCTCAAGAAAAGCTCCACTTCCTGGTATCTCGACGTTGCCATTCGGTTAGAGGCCGCTTCCACTCAAGCGTCTCAGTGTCAGTTAATACTAAGCCAACAACAGGAGACTCTTCGTCCAACATCGAACGAAGTAACAAAACTTCGAATACAGAAAAACAGGATAATAATTACCTTGGCAGAGTCCTTCAGGTGCGCCATGCTTGGGTCGTTGATGGGCTTGCCACTGGCAGCTTTGGTGGCGTGTATGAGATCACCGAGGGCAGAGGCTACGTCTTTCACCGCGTTGATGAGCATCACTTGGGCCTCGGGATTTTGGCTGCCCAAACTAGCAGCACCGTATTTCACAACTTCGGCGAGCTGGACAATCGTCGACACAGCATTCTGTGCGGCCACAGCCAATTGTTCTTGCGAGGAGGCTGCGCCAGCGACGAGCGTTTTAGTGTCCTCCACCAGAGCTTTGGCCGTCTTCAAAATGTTCTCTCTGTGATCGGCAAAGGTGTCGCCCTCGTTCTCCGCGTGCAGTGTTCCAGCAGTGGCGAACATGATCGTGGTGTCCAGGTCTCCGATGATGCCTGACACTGTGCTGGCCGCGTTGATGCAAGCTTGCGTGCCTCGGGAGCCCGCTTGCAACGCGGCTAACACCTGAGACACCTTCTCCGTCACGTTCTTGCTATGTTCTGCCACTTCTCTTTGAGCGTAAGCATCGCCAGGCGATATCTGACAAGTTCCTGCAGCGCGGACTATGTCGGCGCAAGCTCGACCAAGTTCTTGCACACCTGTGCGGAGTCTAGCGGACACGTCAGCGTTGGATGCTGCTGCCGAGGCACCGGAAGTGTCGCGAGCCAATTGCATGTACTTGTGGGAGATGTCCACTGCGAGTGGACCGAGCCTGGCCACGTCGGTGCTCGACTTTGTTGACTGGAATTTGAAGAAATGGGAATTCTGATTTAGTTAGATGTTTCGATATCATTTAGCAAGTTAGCTTGGGTCGATAGAATTCAATTTCTTTCTTGAGTCTTTCTGGTAGAGAGACTCAATAAGATTAACTTACTGGGTGGATTCACATGGAAACTATCAGGTAAAATGTCATCTACTGACTTTGTCAAGAATCTTTTGAGATTAAATATGTGCGAATGAAATTGGCTATGTCTTTTTGTTCATTTATTCATTAATTTCTATATTGCGAAGGAAATGTATTCAACTTATTAATCACAAGAATGTATCTCATAATGATCGTGTCATATAATTATATATTCAGTACCGTGTTGAGTCGCGGATTTTGGATCCACTAATCCTAAAAGTACCTAATGAGATGAATACATTCTCATTTGTTGTTGCCTTGCGTTTTCTGAAATATTACAGTTTCTTTGCTAAAGCAAACTCAAGGACCGTTCCAATGATGTCCTTTAATATTAAACTTGTAACTCAAAACTTGTACAAAGTATTTTTCAATATTTCTGTCCAAAGTGGAACCTTAAACAATTTCACCTAGTAAGCATCATATCGACACAATACATTTCATTAGAAACATCTTATTGTAAAGTCAGTAGAGAACGAGTTATTTCAAGTAATAATTTCTAATGATTCACCCTGTATGCAAATGAAGTGACTTAAAAAATTTAATGTAAGGAATGTTTAAATATGGGTCTTATTCAACATAAGCACTATGAACCGTGTAGTAGTCAGAAACGATCACGTCCTAAGAGAGTTAAAGTTAGAATTTTTTACCATCTCTTGCGCCAGTCGTGCAATCTCCTTAGCAGCCTCCACCATCCTGGTCTGATAATCCACATAAGAATCAACCGTGTCAATGGTAGACATCCTATGATCTTCCAACCTGACCATAGCCCGCGAGATGGTATCGATTAGTCCAGTGACAATGCCGTTCGATGTAGAAATGGTTTCCAAAGTATTCTGTAATTCTTGCAGCGCGTCTTTCGTGGACTCCACAGTTTCGTCGACCTCTGCGTGCAGTTTAATGGCCTTCGGATTACCGCCAGTCTCCTTAGTCACGCAGACAAGTTGCAGCGCAGATTCAGCGACAGTTTTCGTCTGATCGAGTAGCACCATTTGTTGTTTCGACTGCACCATGTTCGAGGCAGCACCGATGGCTCCGGAGACTAACGGTTCGCAATACAAGGCTACTTGGCTGACAGCGTGACCCACGTTCTCAGCCTCGTATTTGGCAGCTGTTCGCAGAGGCTCCAGTTTTTCCCGCAACTCGCTCGCACTGCTTTCCATCTGATCCGTGAATCCTTGAACAGTGTTCTCTCGTCGTGGTGTCAGTGCCTGTGATACCGCGCTGAGCGAAGCAGCGTCCAGCTCTCTGATTCTAGCAGACAATTTAACAATCGCCGCGTCGCATTCCTTCTGTCCCGGCGCTTTGTCTCTAATCGACGCTACCAAGGACTTAATGGAGTCGCTGACGCTCTTGCTGTGATTGGCTAGGAGCTGCCAAGTCGGAGGATCTTTGGGACTAACCGCCAAGCTCTTAGCTGCTCGCACCATGGCACAAGAACCATCGATGATGGCCTTTCCTGCGCTGGTAATTGGTTCTTGAGCAGCTCTAGCAGCGATGGAAATCTTTGCAGGTTGGCTGGCAAACTCGGGCGATCCAGCGAAGGTACATAGATTATCAACGGCCTCTAGAAGCGGTTTTGTGGCTTCGCCACACTTGTCCCTGTTAGCTTCGGAATAATTCTGATCGAGTGCCTTGATCTCCTTCACTAGAGCGGATGTGGAGTTGGCAACGTCTTTAGCCGACTGAACGAAGTGTCTCTTAGCGACCGGATTGCTGGTCTTGTTGGAAGCCTCCCGACAAGCGTTGCATAGCGCGCTCGTGTACTTTGCGATCATGGTAGCAGCTGACAGGACCTGTTGCTCGGTGCTGGTTGGGTTTCCAAGACTTTGACAACCGGTGTGGATGGCTTGCGCGGCTCTCAGGAACTGAGCCTGATCTACGAGTCCTGGTTTCCCCGCGACTGAACTTGGATCGCTCACGCCTGCCAGGTATGCTGCTTGAGCTGCTGCTTCGATCAGGCCACAGATAGATGAAGATACTCCTCGAACAGCCACAGAGAACTGCTCGTGCTCCGACTTCTTAGCGTGATTAGCTATGCCAGTCATTCCATCGCCCAGACTCTTACTCTTCTCCATAACCGTTTCGAGACACTCGAAGTACGATGCATCGGATATAGGCTCGCTTGGGTTGTCCAGCAGAGATCGCATCGATTGGATATTTCTGATGGCGTTGTCGCATTCGTTTTGACCAGGTGCTGCAGATGTACAGACGTCGACGAGATAGTTGATGGAATCGGTCACTGCTCTGGCAGCAGCAGATAGCTGGTTCTTCGCGTTTGGTGCACTGGGGTCAGCAGCTACCGTTTTAGCAGTCACCAACAACTTGCCCGATGTCATGCTGACGTTCTTCAAGGACACCACCATCTGACTGCGAGTGTCGATCGTTGTTTGACCTGCCATTTCCATTCCAACACCTAACAGATCTCCAAAAGCGTTGGTGAATTGTTTCGAGGAGCTCGCTAGCTGCACTGGAGAGCGCACAGATGAGACTACACTCGAGGAAGCGTCGTTTAGATTTGCGGCTGCGTTGTTCAAGTCGGATTGTAGTTGTCTGCAAATGGAAAATCGATGTCATCTTTTATATATGTATTAATTGGAGTTGGGATTGGAAATTATAAACTTTGAAGCTCAATACTTATATTGCCGATCTTTATGCATTTATGTTTTATATTTTCGTTCGAGAACGAAATTGTTAGACGCTTATCAGGATATCGTGAAATTTTAACAAAATTTTACACTAATACGACTAAAATAGAAGTAGTATTCCGGTTTTGTTTCAAGTGAAGTCTTTTATCTCAGCTGTTTTTTTAAGTTGAGAGAGACATATTTGAAACGGTATTGTGAATACAGGTTCTTGAATGAGAAGTGCGAGCAGTAATGAATATTCTTTTAGTAGTTACCTAACAGTATTTTTTAAATCAAAAATAGATTAAAATATTTTTTAATTAATTGTTCAGTGACGATATCAATTTAATTGGTCAATCAATATGTCATCTTGTATAATACAATTTAATATACCTTCATAAGATCATTATTTGAGAAAAACTTATTAATAACTAAAGCATTAATAGATCTACTTATTAGTAGCTAAAATATTAATAGATCTGTTATAATAGTAATCAATAATTTGTATTAAGTGAAACTGCGTTCTGAACTATTTTTATCAGTTACTGCTTCCTTTATACTTTTGTGCAAAACTTGTTTAATGAAAAAGCATAATTATATCAAATTAAAATTGTCTCTAAACTAAATCATTGATTTTATTGAATTGGAATTTGTAAATATTTTTATGTTGCTTGTAGCTACAACAGACTCTTGCAAAATTATCAGTGAATATCTAATACTTTATAAATATTTATTAATGACAATCTTCTTTATACGTAAAATATCTGTTTTCAAACACTGATTCTAAATGCTTGTATTAACATTTCAAATACCGACAGATTTACCAAGCAACCTGTTTCAACCAAATGCTCAGAGTCATTAAAATTTCTCACACAGTATCGGCAAGCAATTCGAATGTATGCCAGTGAACGATAATTGAAATGCGAACCAATGAGGTAACAAACTATCGCGCTGCAAGATAACAATGTCTTTATCGCGGACAATAATAAACTCACCCATAACTCTTGTTGGTTTGCGGGTATTCGTTCATGCCGAGCACCTGCGTCATGTCCTCGATATTCTTGATCGCGTCGTCGACGTCTCTTTGACCAGGCAAGCAGGAGACGCACTTGTTCAAAGAATTCGACACATCTTTAGCGACGGCAGCCAAGTTAGCTTCGTTCTCAGGATTGTCAGGACTTTTCAGGGCTCGCCTCGCCTCTTTGACAAGACGCAGGGACTTCAGGACAACATCGTCCGCTGTCATCAACACCTTCTTCTGCGTTTCAGGTTGATCCGACGTAGCAGCCACGCCTCGAACAGCATAAGTCAGGTCCTTCAATGAGGATGCAGTCTCTCTGGCTGCACTTCCGGTATAATTCTCATTTCCTTGCTTAGCAGCGGATAGAAGTCGGGCCATTGCGAATCCGACGTTCTTCGACGTGGCGCCTAGTCGAAGAGCTGTGGATTCTGTTGTCTCATCTGGCAGAGGTCTCAGAGATGCGGCTTCAACAGCTCTATAAAACTCGGCCAACTCATCCTTGAGGCTGTTGATCAATTCCTCAGCAGCATCCAGCTCCAAACCGCCACAAGCTTCTCTGGCACGAGTTACAGCAGACCTCAAGTCCGTCAAGGAAGCACCCAACTGCTGAGAGGTGTTGTTCAACTGCAACGCCGAGGCCTGGTCGGTGACCGTTGGTAGAACCGCTCTGGCAGCTTTCACTACAGAGTTGCCAGGCTGCAGGAACTGCTCAGACGCGTCGATTAAATTCAATTGTGCCGTGGGATTATCTGGCTGTGCTTGGGCACCTTTCACGCCTGCTACTAGATGTGGTATGTGCTGCATCATGGTTTGGCATTCTGTGGTTAATTCCTTCTGACTAGACGGGTTAGTGTTGTGATGTGCAACTCCTGCTGCGGCAGCTATGCATTGGGTAGCGGTAGAAGCAGCCTGTTTCGCGCAAGCTTCCAATATCGTGATTAATTTCCTTCTCAAAGCCGGAGTGGCTGCTGCGGTGGTCGCTGCTCTGAGTTCTTCTGCAGCCTGCCGCAGTTGGTCTTGCATCTTAGCGTCGTGGGGACTGCTGGCGCATTGTCTAGCAGCTTCAACCATCTTTGCAGTAGCGTCAGCCAGCATCTTAGCTGCAGCCAGCAGTCTACACTGCTGCTCAGAGTCAGTCTGCCTCTCAGCTTCACCTTTTATACTCTGGATCAACTGAGCGGTTGCTTGACCAACCACTCTTGCTTGCCTGACCATTTCTCCAGCGTCTCCAGTACTGGCAAATAACTTATCTGTCGCTATCAGTATCGTCTCTACCGCACCCTCTTGTACTGTTTCTTTGGCACGTTCGCCTCTCGTGGCTGTCTTTATGTGGTTCAACAGGTCGTTCAAGGTCCTACTGACTTCAGATGCTGCTGCGCTCAGTTCCTTCAGAAGATTGTCATCGTTGCAGGTCTCGTTGCACACCTCCACCAATCCTTCGACAGCTCTTGTCACTTCCCTAACGGCATTCATCAGTTGCGTCTGACATGCTGGAGACTGCAGCGTAGGTGCGACGACCTTGGCACACGCGACCAACTGCGATGTAGCTAGGGCACATTGTGTGGCAGCGGATATCACACGGTTTTGGGTGGCTGAATCTTCGCAAGTGGCTGCTATGTTCTTCGCTTTCAAAACTAATGCAGCAGTTGAATTAGCTACCGCCTTTGCCAGGGCAAGCAACATATCTTGCAGCTCCCGGTTCGAGTCGTTCTCTTCTCCAATGGTTGTTAACACTTGGTGCGAAGCCTCGCCCACGCGAGATGCTGCGTTCAACAGGCTCTGTCTCGGCTGGAAAATAGATGAGAATAATTAGTTTTGGGGAAACATTGTTGTGGGATAATTCTGGCGTGACCGTAGAAAAATTGAGAAATTTCGAATGCTTCTAAAATCATGAATAATTAAAATATTTTTCTCAGTTGATCATTGTACTAGAGTAGAATTTGGCAAAATATTGCAATGAAGTAACAAAATGCTGTTACTTTTGCCTTTTTCTTGTTTGTTGTCGAACTTTTTACAAGATAAAAAAATAGAACATTAAAGTTATAGAGGGATTCAATACTTTTTCTATCCACACATCATGCACAATGGATAAAGAAATTACAAATTACTACAAACTACAACTGCAAGTGCTGATACAATTAGAGCTTCATTATTAAAATTTAGAGATATATTCTCGACTGTATATATATTTTTTATCAACGAATTAACAAAATTGGATTTTTTCGAAAGCGTCACACGAGAATGATACCCTATGTTTTAGGTAGATTTTTTTCTAAAAAAAAAAAAAATTACAATACAAGTGAAGTGTCGTGTGCATACATGATTTTCTACTCTAGAATAAATTACCCTATCGTGTGAAAGTTTGGATACATGTTTTAATAACTAATCCTTAAATAAATTTCCTGTATTAATTATAATATATATACTAAGATAGCTTCCGCAGAACTTTCTTCGGGAGTTTCTTAAAATTTCGATGTCTACCGTTTTCAGATACCTGACATTATAAAAGTCATTATCTCTCGTAGATAGTGCAAATGTACCCAAACTTATGATCTTCTATTCAAAGCACATAAGGAACTTAAGATTCAAATAAACAAATCTTGCAACATTTAGTGAGTAAACGCTTTCTTTGAGCAAAATAATGAACGAGCTAGGATTACTATTGTCTGAAAATCACAACGACGGAATAAAAATAAAGATATGAAAATATCTTTAAGAAGCCATTTCTAGTTGATACTAGGGCATATTATTTCAAATTAAAGTAAAACAGGATTGATGTATTAATGTTCTGTGACTATTTATGAAATTGTTTATCAGTGCTTACGTATTTATCGTAGATAGGCGTTATGTAGAAAGGCTGTACAGAAAGGTAGAGTTTAAACTTTCATTTTTGAAATTTTCCTTACTTTCCAT